GTAACACTCCATGTTAGAAAAAACCCCCCAAAACAAAGACAATTTTACAGGGAGTGGGTGCAAATAAGGAGGTTTCAGGAAGGGGGTTCTGGCTGAATGTGTTCTTGTGCTTTGCATTTGCGCATTGTCTTGCAGTCCACAGCAGCAGTTTGCATCCCAGGGTAACAATGCTGCTAGTGCATTGACAGCAGCATAAATCCCCTGTTGACAGGATCAGCAGGTGAAAAATAAAGAATAGAAAGCCTTCATTGGAAAGTAATCCCTTAAGCACATGTAAGGTAGAGTAAGCTACCAAAAAGTGAGGTTTCTATTGGGTTTAATCAACTAATTGATTAATCGATAATGAGAATAGTTGTCAATTATCCTCATTATTGATTAGTTGGTTGGATCCCCTAGCTCTCTCCTCCACGCTGGAGGAGGGCATAGCAAGCAGTGGACTGTTGCAATAGCCAGTCTGCTATTGCAATGTGAAATGGCCAATAGCAGGCAGGTTATTGCACCAGCCCACTACCTGCTGTATTTACATTCAGTTGCAGTCTGAGGAATCTTGCCACTGGCAGCCGTCATTCCCTGGCTGAAGCGATTCAAGCGCCAGGTGCTTACAATACAATTATGTAAAAAAAAATATAATAAAAAAGGTGGGGGGGAAGTAATTTTAGTTTTCTGCCTGACAAATTCTGCTGCGGGAGGTGCGTTGCAGTGTCATTCATTTCAATGGCACCCCAAATGCACCTCCACCCACAGTGTAATCACCCGCACTGGAACGTACGGTACCGCAATGACGCATGTTACAGTGCAGTGTGATTGCAAAAAAATTGTGCATGCAGTTTAATGATGAAGTATTGTTTGTAGCACTGCATTTGTGTATTGTATTTTAAATAAAGGGTGATATATATTTAATGTTTTATCCCATTAAAATAATCTGAATAATAGCCAACTAATCTATTAGGAAAATAATCATTAGTTGCAGCACTATTTGGGTTTACAAACATTAAAGCATTTTAGGTGATCTCTTTCACTTTGAAAATTGCTATAAAAATGTTACGACCCATTGGTTTATCGTGCATTGAGGCACACTGTCTTACCATAGCCCATTTATTTTGAGTAGGCCCAAACGCAAAAGAAACAAAAACACACCTGCAGTATTTTGGTTAACCACAGTGCACCACAATCCACATCAAAATGAATGGCAACTAACATGCATTTCACTGCTTTTCCACATTTTATGTGAACGCGCATGCAATACGCCACACACTACTGCAGCGCACCAGGTATCAATGGGACCTTTCAACTAATTTAAATAACATCAACATACATACCTGCAGGAGAAACATGTGGGCAACTGCTCATTTTCAGAAGTTTCAGTGTGTCGCTGTTATTTGCCACTAGCACTTTTAGCGATGGATCGTCAACTGGAGTGTCATCAATTTTAAGTGATGAGAGGGATTTTGAATTGACAAACACAACTGTAAGTGCAGATATGAAGTGTGACTATGGAGGAGAAAGAAAACAAGACTTGTGTTATTACTGTAAAATATCACAGCCTTTAACCATGCAAGTGCTATGCAGAAGGCCCAACTGATAAGAGCTCACAACTGGATAGACATCATCTCCATACACGGAAGGTACTGAATTCCAAGTGAACAGATATGAATGCCTGCTTTACAAGAGAACCAAAACGTCAAATAAGAATGCCACCACTGTATACATTATTCTGCAGTCACTACAGCATAGGCTGAGGATAGCATTATCACCCACAGAGGGTTAGTCTATGAAATTAAAATAGATGTCAAATATTTGACATCT